TTAAAATTTTTAATGCTTTCCCGCATCTATCGTTTTCCCGCATTCATCGTTTTTATTTCCCACCCCCGCCGAAAACGATGCATCGAGGTTTCACTGTATAACAAACATTACCATTCATTCAAAATTTCTTAAAGTTGCCAACAGATGAGTTCCTTATAAAACGAAATGCCAAATGTATAGTGCACATAATTGTAATACGAGGCGCGTCCCAAAAGTAAGTTTCCCTGGGGCCGTTTACAGAAACAAAACACAATTTCATGGAAATATTTATTGCAACAGATACAGCAAGTGTCCAGCTATTTTTCAACATATTCGCCACCAGAATTGAGACATTGGTCATACCGTGGGACCAACTTTTGAATACCTGTGTCGTAGAAGTCGGCCGCCTGGGATTGGAACCACTGTGTGACAACCATCTCCGCCTCTCTGTCATTCTCAAAACGCTGACACTGACCGGACAGGAATTTCTTGAGGTGTAGGAAAAGATGGAAATCACTGGGAGCGAGATCCGGGCTGTAGGGTGAATGATTAAACACCTCCCAGCTGAACTCCTGCAGGAGACTTGCTGTCCGTCGAACCGTGTGCGGCCTAGCGTTATCACTGACCGCACTTCACAGGCGGCGGGAGCTGGAATAAGAACCTCCATCTTCAACAGCTGCAACGATGCTACTGTGAGAACGCGGGAAGTACCGTTAGTGCATGCGCCATGCTACGTCATTGCTCTATCACGTACGCACAGTCGCTTCGCGCAATATAAGGTTTGCTAGCTGTGGGACGAGTGGGAAACTTACTTTTGGGACGCGCCTCGTATTTAAATAAATAAACTTTTAATTTTTTTGAATGCACAGAGCATAGCGCCGATCGAAATTCATCGTCAGCTGTGCTGGGTGATAGAGCAATGACGTAGCATGGCGCATGCACTAACGGTACTTCCCGCGTTCTCACAGTAGCATCGTTGCGGCTGTTGAAGATGGAGGTTCTTATTCCAGCTCCCGCCGACTGTGAAGTGCGGTCAGTGATAACGCTAGGCCGCACACGGTTCGACGGACAGCAAGTCTCCTGCAGGAGTTTAGCTGGGAGGTGTTTAATCATTCACCCTACAGCCCGGATCTCGCTCCCAGTGATTTCCATCTTTTCCTACACCTCAAGAAATTCCTGTCCGGTCAGCGTCAGCGTTTTGAGAATGACAGAGAGGCGGAGATGGTTGTCACACAGGGGGTCCAATCCCAGGCGGCCGACTTCTACGACACAGGTATTCAAAAGTTGGTCCCACGGTATGACCAATGTCTCAATTCCGGTGGCGAATATGTTGAAAAATAGCTGGACACTTGCTGTATCTGTTGCAATAAATATTTCCATGAAATTGTGTTTTGTTTCTGTAAACGGCCCCAGGAAAACTTACTTTTGGGACGCGCCTCGTATTTAAATAAATAAACTTTTAATTTTTTTATTTCTTACAATAATTATCAGAAAATTATTATATGATAATTATACTAAACTGTTCTTGGTTAATAAAACTAATATAGAAAGTACAAAAACGTTGGTTTACATACCACACTGCATAGAATGTTTTCTCACATAACGCATACATACATTATAATAAAATGTATTGTATAGACCATTCCATGTTTAGTACATGGTTTTAATGCTTTAAAATGGCTGCTAACGTATACGATACGTATTGTAAAAGCTCAGGAATGCAAGATACACATAACAAACGTCTTGGAATGGAACTCGTTCGTAAACCGAGAGTTGCCTGTACTCACAAACATAAAAGTGTACAAAAGTGTAGATATCATCTCATATGGGTGGGTTTCAATAAAATGTGGTGATCAATGATGACTTTCTTCTCATGATTAAGAAGTCAAAAATATGGAACGGTATTATAGTGTTAAATCACCATAGTGAATAAACAGTCTAAGACTGTTGAGATGGTCAAGGAATTCCCGTAACTTATCAGGGCTATGTGGCCAAATCACAAAAGTGTCATCTACGTATCTTTGCCACATATTTGGTTTAAGCTCAGCTGTGGTTAATGACAGCTTTTAAAAATTTTCCATAAAGAAGTTACCACTGGAGAAAGAGGCTTCCCATGGCCGTCCTAACCTTTTGTTCATAAAACTTCTCATAAACTTGAAAATATTTAGTTCTCATACACACTTCCATAATAACTTCTGTTTTGAAATTAAGATGTATTTTTTCCTGGTCCATATCCAGTTTAGTTTTGATGATCTGCATAGTTTCTTCCACTGGAATGCTGGTAAACAAACTTAAAACATTGAAGCTAATTAAAATATCATGATCTTAAAGTTCTATTGGTTTCAGTAGTTGGACGATTTGGTCCAAGTTTCTTCACACATGATTCGGAATTTCCCGCTAGTGAACTTACTATTGATCTCAGTGGTAACCTACTGAGACCAAAAGTTGAAATACTACACTCACCTGCTTAGTCTCCAAATTTCTGGCACTCTCTTGTTCTCCAAGTAATACAGACTTTCTCATAATAGCCTGCATTGCAACATTTTGCCGGCCTCGCTTAGTTATGTGTACTGCATGATTCTGATTGTGGTTCCACATTACTTCAGTTGCTTCTTTCTCTCGAGCTTTCTCCAGGGAGCCTTGTGGCTTCAGAATACCAGCACGTCTCTCTGCAATTGAAAACACATACTCTAAATTTTGGTAAGGCAATAAAACACAAAACTGATCTGTTAGGAAAGTACATATATTCATGTCATATTTACCACATCTATTCTCAAAAATTGAAATTAATGAAAAACTATTATTTTCAGGTTACCAGCTGCGTCAGGTGGCTGAATGCTGAATAAACCATATCTTCCTCCAACGGATCACCATTCAGCCACCTGACGCGGGTGGTAACCCGAGAGTCTTTCATCAACTTCGTCGCCATGAAAGCTTCACTTTATATTATTTTCAGTTCTAATGTTGAGCCAAGTTTTTTCCTCAGTTCTTACCTCTTCAATACAGTCTTCAAATAAGATACCACTTCCTGTTCAGTAACTTTACTGTCTGCTCACTGTCACTCATTAATTACACTACGCTGTCATACAGTAACTAAACAAGAAAAATAGTGGTTTATATTACTGCTGAAGTAAACGATGATCACAATGAAATACTTTTTCTCTGCTCATGATAGTAAGCTAAACCCTTGCCTTTAAAGAGCTAAATTTTTGAGTAAGAAGCAAATTCATCGTGTATTCCGGTAAAGGTGTATTTATCTTCTCATTTGTAAACAGAATGCACACAATAATAGTAATTACTTTTCAAATTTGTATGGTATGCATATTACATGGTTTCTGCTTATTTGCAATGCAAATACAGGCAACTTTCAGTTTACAAACGTTCGATTTATAAACATTAGCTATAAGGAACGTCACAATTCATTCAAAATTTCTTAAAGTCGCCAATAGATAGAGTTCCTTATAAAACGAAATACCAAACGTACAGTGAACATAACTGTAAGATTTAAATAAATAAACTATTAAAAATTACCTTGGTTTACATGCCACACCACATAGAATGTTTTTTCGTGGGAAAGAAATCTGTGATTCCCCTTATTATAATACAAAAGAATCATCACTTGCTTTGCCTAGGTTATCTTAGATGGCCAAGTTTAGTTCTGCATTTGGTGACTTAAAAATTTAAGCGATCATGGGTCCAAAGCAAAATAGCAGTGCTGGTGCTGATGGTGGTAGTAATAAAAGATGCAGTATTAGTTTAGAAAGTAAGCTATACATCATAAAAAGGACAGAAAGAGGTCAGAAGCAGGTGGACATAGCTCGTCATTTTGGTGTGAACAGATTGAGTATCGTAAAAGCTCAGCAATGCAAGATATACATAATGAATAAAAACGTATAACGAACAACGTCTTGGAATGGAACTCATTCGTAAATCAAGAGTTGCCTGTACCTTAATACTCCCCACACTACTTACCATGACCTATATCACTGAGGCCCTGATCTACAAGGGGTGGACTGTGGTGTCCACCAGTGATTAATGAATTATCAGGTGTCGAAGTGCCAGTAGCAGCGCTCCCCCAGCTACTAGTATCCGAAGGAGCTGGTGATGGGAGCTTGGTGAGACTAAGCTCCTCCAGTTCTCTGATCAGGTCACAAGGAGGCACCTGCTGACCACCCACTGCTTCAAACATCACTGAAGATTCTTCTGTACCTGGTGATGACCTAAAAAACACCACACATGGCATATTAATAAAGAGTAAAAATGTATTCTCTTGGTAAAGTAAAGTAAAGCTGTCCCACTATACTTCATGTAGGCTCTTGGGGAAGAGGTATAGCTCCTACTCATTCTTAACATCGGTACTAGACAGGGGTGGGTGGTCAGTGTCAAGCCCCAGCCACGCTTTACCCCTGTAAGGACCACAGTGCCCATTGTATTAGAGGCTGGCTTGGTCCCAGAGCCAGTGTGGACACAGAGGCTAGAGAACAAATCCTCTGCCCGCATCAGGAATCAAACCCCAGTCGTCCAGACCATAGTCAGTCACTATACTGACTGAGCTACCCGGCTAATGTATTCTCTTGGACTGACAAAAAAATAATAATTCACATTTAGTTAAGCAAACTCAAACAACACAAACAAAATTCATGATATTTTTTATTGTTCAGATGCCTCAAAAGGGTAATTTCTGTTCACATTAAATATATATACAGGAAGTCCCTGCTTTTACAAATAGTTATTTTTATGGAGCGTTCACACAGAAAAATTTCATTCAGTGAGTTGCTAATTCCCATTAGCACAATGCAATAACTGGGGGTTACATTTCCAAACAAATTAAAAATAACAAAAAAATTAGAAAATTGTATCTGTTTGTTCATGTTTTCATTAGCATATATTTTATTTTGTTCAGATTTCAGATGAATGAGTTTGCTTTTGGATGATAAGCCAAGCAAAGGGCATGCATTTCATTATTAAAGTTGGTATGGGTGAAATTCTGTAATAAATATCTTTGTATAGCAAGGACTGACTGTACTCCCTGTCAATTTTGATTAATGCATACTTTTCCCTCTATGAGGGAAGAAACAATAAAAGAGAGAGAGCGAGAAGTAGTAGCAGTAGTAGTTCATTTAGTTTAAATTTATACAGGACTACTGTAAGCTGTCAAGCATACAACTCTGCAAGAATTAACCCATTCATAAGGCAATTCACAATTTTTAAAGAGTCAAATAAATGGAAGCAGCTGAAGAATGCTATGAACTGCATATTACATTTCATGATTTTAATATACAAACAAGGACTCCTCAGACAATACCTCCTAGTCACAAGGCGATGGTTATCCTGCTTTAACAGCCAAGACCCAAATTCAAGAATACGACTTGCTCTGAGTTTATTAAGCAATACTGTGTCCAACTTCCAGTCTTGGCAACTGAACCTGGAATTAACAATATGCAGCATAATATGAATCACATCACATTAGTACAAGATAAAAATATTCTGAGAATGGGTACAGTGAGATTGATGAAGCATACTATATGAGGACAAACTATCCCATACACTTTTCATCCATTCCAAAACAGTAACGGAAAAAAAATCATCATCCCTATGTTTTCTTGACAGTAGTTCAGTCCCAATAACCTTAATATCCTACAAAGGACTATACATACCATATTGGTATAACATTCAGACCATATTTACTTAATTTACACTCATGCACACATGAACATGTAGTGAATCAGTGTGCCAGCCGGCATCATCGAATTAGCATTTGTTTCTTAGTTACGGGCGTTTTGGTAGTGCGATTTCGGAATGGCGTGTGCATCAAATTTTGCCAAAGACTCGCCAAAACGGCTACGGAAAACTATGAAATGCTAAAGCCAGCATTTGGGGAGTCCGCAATGGGTCGTGCACAAACTTTTGTGTGGCATTCACGTTTTAAAAATGGCTGAACCTCTGTCGATGATGACGAGCGTTCTGGCCGACCATCTTCGAGCACAACGCCCGAAAATGTTAGGAAGATTCGGCAGGCCATTCACGAAGATCGACCATCGTCGTACCATCAACGACTTGTGCGACATTGTTGGGATAGGCTATGGGACCTGTCCGCTGATTCTAAAGGAAGAACTCCACATGCGACGCATCATGACAACGCGCCAGCGCACACCGCTCTCAAAGTTCGGCAGTTTTTGGCCTCAAACACCATGGCCGTCATCCAGCACCCTCCTTATTCGCCGGATTTAGCTCCGTGTGACTTCTTCCTCTTCCCAAAGATGAAAATTCAGCTAAAGGGAAGGAGATTTGAGACGATAGAAGAGATTCAGGCAGAATCGCAGATGGTGCTTGACAGGTTGACAAAGAAAGATTTCCAGGGATGCTTCCAGGCTTGGCAGCGGCGCTGGGATCGTTTGTGTTCACTCCCAGGGGAACTACTTTGAGGGTGATGGATGAATTTAATACCTGAGATAAGTGTACAGGTTTTTATAGGCGCAGTCTGGAAACTTTCCGATCGCACCTCGTGTGCGCATACTCACAGGCCTTGGAATTCAATTTTAAAGCAAAAGAACAGAGCATGCAGGAAAAAATACACAAAAAGGATTTCACAGCACCTTTAAAACTTGAAACAAGAAATTATCAAGTTTAGTTCTAGGCCACTCTGAACTTACCTAAGTTCACTGAATGACTTCTCCAATGGTATAAATCCTTGGAGATCCCGATCTTCTGGAAGGGGCAAGTAACTATCTGGAATAGGCAAAACATTTCCTTCAAAACTGTACCTTACATCAATATATCACTATACTGATATATTCAAGGTTGCATTAAGGCATTTTTTAATTACTCACTCATTTTATACTGTGGATGAGTACCTAATTGGATAACTATTACAATAAAAAATACTAGTTATATTGTTTTGTATTTAGTACGCTGCTTGTCTAGATGTAATTCTTTAATGTATGTATTTCATGCTTTTATACTTGAGTTTGTGACGTGTTCTATATCCACTACTGTATTTCTGGAACTTGTAAATAAAATAAAATAAAAAATAAATAAATATACAGGTCTTTATTAAAGCACCAAAAAACATGAAGATTTCTGTCTTCTGGGTTGTTGCGCTGTGTAGTCTGGTAGATGTTTTGTTCAGAGATCATACTACCTCCGCCATCAGGGTGATGAATGACGGAGGCAGTATGACCTCTGAAACGTTGGTAAACATCTACCAGACTACATAGCGCAACAACCCAGAAGACAGAAATCTTCATACTCACTGCTGTGAAAACCTCAAATCATACACCAAAAAACATCTTTATATTTTCATATTTACATTCACTATCCTGTTACTTACATTTGTCAGTAGAAAAATCAGTCAGAGCTTGCTGCAGTCCATTTAGCAGTTTACAAAGACTGGGCCAGATCTGAAGCCGACTTGTAAATGCTGAATCTAGGAGCACTTTAGAATCAAGTCTAATCCAGTCCAAAGTTAGTTTAACTGGAAAAGATAATTAGAGCAATTTTATTTGAAAAATAGGACAACATAGAGGGTAAATAATACATATATCTTTCATCTACAATTAATTATAGTAATCTGATTCAAACTAAAATCCCCAATCATGCACAGGGTTTGAAAAATTGTATCAAATCCTACCTAGGGAACTAAAAATTCATTCACCATCCTAGCAATTTTACATTTCTGACTGTATCCATCAACCATATCTTCTTACACTAGTAAGACTGATCACACTTTTGACATATATTACAAAAGTATCTACAAGGTAGAAGCATCAACCAGTTCTGTGTTAGAGATCCAAAGAGTGGCTCAGAAAACTTTGTCCATGAAAGAATGCCAGGATAATCCCATTTTCAGACCGTAAGTAATAGTTACGAAAAATGGAACAGGAAGTTTAGATGTCATATGTTGCCATTAGACACTCAGCATATTAAATGGTGACTTACAAGCCTGATGTACTACATATGACACTGAGAAGTTAAGAAATAACTATAATGCAGAACATTTGTAGAAACTGGATCATAATAGTTATACAAGTAACAAAAATGCAACATGAAAATTACAAGCCAATACTACACAATGTGTCATATCCTTGATCATATCTATGTATAAAAACTCACAAAATGAAGGTAAAATATGACAAATAAAAATAAAGAAGTATAAAGGAAATCCACCACAGGGAGTACGTCAGTGGACTAATGAACACTCGTTCCATGTAGTGAAAAGCATTTCAAATTATTACCAGGTAAGAAAGAAATTGGAATAATAATTCACAGTCACAAAATTCTGTTAGTTAACTGAGAATAATGCATTTAATGCAAAATTTTCAACCATAGTTAATTCAGGATAAGGAAATTGGTTGTATACTGTAAGCCATACACTTACTGGCTGGCAAAGCAAAGTAATCCAACAATGCATCTCCTTCCTTGAGAGTGTATACAGGAAGTAAATAAGCACTCAGAGATCCAGCCATGAGGTCCATTACAAGGTGTTTAACCTTCTTCTCATCACTTGACAATTGCTCATCACTGAATGTTGTTAATTTGTCTGCATCGACACAGCTTCCAGCATGATGCAGAGCAAACAAGTTGATAGCCAGCATCTTGAAGGTCAAACCAAGTATATCAATAGCATTAATGTTTACACAACATCTTAATGACATAACCTGAATGTCTTTGGTGATCATATTACAAGGGGCATATACAAATGATTTAGACTAACCTGAATTATGTGATCCTTGATGGTGGTGGCTCCCAGGTTACACTTCAGCCTGTTCCACATATTCTCCCTGGAAGTCGATGCACCATTGCCATCTCTCTGGCAATTTCCGTATTGCCTCACGAAACCATTGTTTGGGGGTGTCTCATACCCACTCCCTGACAGCATCATGTAAGGCGTCACTATCGGGGAATCAGTGACAACGCAGGGGATTCTTCATCTCACGGAAGAGGGCATAGTCACTTGGTGCCAGGTCAGGAGAATAGGGTGGGTGCAGGAGTACGGTGAACCCCAGTGACTGCTTGTGCAACTGTGTTCAATTGGGTGACAGGCTTCGCATGTGACAACGAAACAGTGAAAAAGGGATCCAGCAGTGGTCGTCTCAGAACATCAAGAACTCCGCAAATGATTCAAAGAGTGTCGGAACTGATCCCCTGCGTGGTGACCGATTCCCCGATAGTGACGCCTTACATGATGCTGTCAGGGAGTGGGTACGAGACACCCCCAAACAATGGTTTCGTGAGGCAATACGGAAATTGCCAGAGAGATGGCAACAGTGCATCAACCTCCAGGGAGAATATGTGGAACAGGCTGAAGTGTAACCTGGGAGCCACAACCATCAAGGATCACATAATTCAGGTTAGTCTAAATCATTTGTATATGCCCCTCATATATTACCGATTTCTTAATTTTGGATTTCATCCATTGTCTGTGGAGCGCTTTTTTAAATATCACAAAAATTAAAATGGGTGGCATCCACTCAGTTGGATCCAGTATGCAAAGCTATTTCCAATCTGTAAACAGGTGATTTTCATTACTTAAAAAAATCTCTTAACAGACAATGGGTAAGTTCAAAATAAAATTTTAAAATATCATTTTAAAATTTAAGGCAGGAAAACGTCTTACATAATAACATCTTAAATGGGTCTCAATGAATGTACTTCCAATACGGTTACTACAGACCTGAACTAGTTTCCATGAAGTAAGACTCTCTGTGGCAACATGGGCTGTGAGTGTTGTTGTCAGTATCTTTACATACTTCTCTGCTTCTTGCAAGTTTGAACTGTTATGCACCAATCCATGAAGTTTAAGGAAAACAGCCACATATTCTGAGACTGATAATTTGTTCCTTCCCTCAACATTTAATCTGCAAGAAAAGATAAATATCAATGTAGATTAGGATCCACCACAGCACTAAATACCAGTAATGACACCACAAAACAACATAAATAAATGCTTACTTTTCTTCAGCACTTTTATTTAATGTGCGAGAGAGATTGGTGGCTGCAGCTGGAAAGAAATGACGGACAGCAACACTGCGAACATAGTGGAACACAGTACTCAGTCGATCACCTCGACTAGCTTCAAGCAATGCAAGTTGGTTGTAAGGTTGTCCACTGTTTGGAGCCAACTGTACTGCATGTCTATAAAAAGTACAGACATATTACAATACTTATACATTTGGAAAATTATCTTTTAAAAACAGTACCCAGATAATATGCACACAGACCAGGGTAAGTAAAATTATGACCATGAGTTCTAATCTGAAAGTGACTGATTAACCCAACTGGATACTTGATATGTATTTATTATGATGGCAACATGTACAAGTGCTTGAATTCAAATCTTCAAGCAGACTATAAAAAATATTTGAGTTAACTCCATCTATATATGCCTCCTGTTAATTTCAAGAATGTAGGATTTGAGGTTCTCATGGCAGTGAATACGAAGATGGCCGTCTTCTGGGTTGTAGCGCTGTGTAGTCTGGTAGAAGTTTACTTCTACCAGACTAAAGAATACAACTCTGAAAACAGCCATTTTTCTAATTTCAAGCAAGTTCAACAACACAGTAATAAAATCAACAGTGGTGTACAGATAACAGTAATAGAAAATAAACAGGAAATGTCTTTCTTCACATTTGCAGCCTACGCTTAGGTAAGTTTTAACTTGTCTGTCAAACTATTAAGAACATCTTCAATGATAAATTGCTTTATAAGTATGTGCAGAAGCAATTATAAACACTCTGCCCAAAAATGTCCTAGGCAGCTGAGATCAAAAGTTATTCTGGAATAGCATGAGATGAAGTTTTTGGAACTTTATCCATCGTCTGGTATTTGAAAACTCAATCTGTTTTTGTCCTCACTGGATCCAGTGATCGAGGTTAGCTCTTTCAAATGGACTTAAGAGTAGGTACTCCAACTGAGAACAAAAAAAGATCCAGTTTTAAAAATGCTTTGTGCTTTTAGAATAACAGATGGTGGATAAAGTACACAAACTCAGTAATCCCAAATGTAACTCGCAATCATTAGAACCCTTTGGAATTGTCTAGTCCTCCTTATAAAATCAAAATAAAGTCCACAACTCAACAAACCTGTAAAATATTTCAGCCTGGCGATTCTGATTCCTATAGCGAGCAATGTCTCCCAAGTGGACTAAGCAATGTTGGCAGATGTAGTAACAAGAATTCTTGTGTGGCACAGTAAAATGATCACCAGTTTTCCAAAGTTTTCCATTTCCAAACACAGATTCATTCCTGTAAATTAAAGAACCAACATAAACTATCAACGTATACTCTTTAACCAAGAGATCAGCAGAAAAGGTCCAATTCTCATGAAAATTTTCAAACTGAACAAAAAGTTTATAATTTAACAACACATACATTTTAATACTGTTCTACATACACCTATTCAACTGGAGTCAGAGTAGCTGAGTCAGTATGGTGTCTGACTACAGACCAGACAACAGTTCAATCCCTGGCAAGGGAAAAAGATTTTCCTTCCATCCTCTGCACCCAGACCAGCTCTGAGGCCTACCCAGCCTCATATCCAATGGGTACCAAGGGTCCTTGCCCTGGGGCTAACGTACAGCCAGGGCACAATGCTGACCATTCGCTCCCATCAAGTGGCAAGGTCAAGAATGAGTAGGAACTATACCTCCTCTCCCCATGTGCTACCATGGTGTGCAGCAGGACAACTTTACTTTACAGCTACTCTAATGCAGTATTGTTCTTAACCAAATTACAAGCATACAGAGTTTATACCTATCACAATCTGAGAAATGTCATTACCTTCTAAATGGAAGGTCCAGATCAAATGCTGTACAGATTTCCTGTAGTAAAGTCAAGTAGAAGCCACTGGCTGCCTCCAGACACCAAGATAACATCGCCTGTGACTCATTTCGTTTGGGATTCTAAAGTGAGAAATAAATTAATGCAACATCTGTAACTCCGTGAAATAAACCTATCAAGCAGAACACCTATCACCACCTGGTCTAAACAGTCATGCTATCAATACTTCAAGATGATATATAAAATAACCAACAAATTCTGCTTCTTATCTTGGACAAAGGTCTACCATGTGTCACAAAATATTTAAGAAACATCCTGACAACCTTTGTACATACAGCCTGTAACATTAGGCTTTGCCATATAAGTTAATTATATGGAATAAAAATTGTAATCTAATGACAAATCTGTATTACACAAAACCAACTCTGACACTTGTCTGTATCTATTACATTACCAACTTCACTAAGGCTGCAAGAGACTATACACTTATGATCTTATCTGTACAGATAAATGTATACAACAGATCCTTAACATGCATCAAAAAGTAAACATACACAAGCAACTCTTTTGTGTGAAGTTTATGAATTATAACACACATATTCTATAAATTTATGTTTATACAAACCTTCTTATCCTTTGCTAAATTCTGTAGTGTTCCAATATAATTTTTAAATCCATGATTCCACAGTTCTTGTTCCACTTTTTTGTCCAGAGCAAATTCTAAGTCAAGAATAAGGACCTGCTGATAAATTCTCTATGGCAAAGAAAAATACATTATAAATGAACAGATACAATTCTGACCTTTCACCAAAAAATGCAAACTGCACACCCAGTAACCAGTAATAAACAATTAAGCAAGTATTACTGTAAAACAATGCTAATTTACTCACCTGTAATTGCTGTTGGCAAACCCAAGCTTCATTGTCATTCAATATGTCTCTTGAATTTTGAACTTTTTCTTTTAGCTTTTCTGCTCTCCTAAAACATTAGAAGTGTGATACATATGTACTATTTGTTTCTTAGCATATTTAAAAGCGCTGTGTTAACTGCAGTGGTTATATAGCACCAAGTTAGATATGACAGGAAGTATGTAAACAAGTAGTTGGGACTGATTCAAGAAATATTTGTACAATTATTTTCATGAAGGGAATAAGGATACACAGAAAACCCTCAGGACAATGTACATTCCAGAATCTCTATTGCAAATCACATACCAAAAACCCTTTCAGTACTGTCTTCTGACCGACCTGAACGTCTTAAAGTGACTAAAAATTAGACACTTGCAAGGGTACTGTAGTTTTCACAACATTAAAACAACAATGAAACAGTCATATGGTGCCAAATGAGGTAAGTAGATTGAATCCTTTAATGCCTCTTCTCCCAAATGTCACTTCACAGAAAATAATGGATGAGAGATGAAAAGGTTCAGTTTCATTAAATAAACTACACTTGTGTGGCCAAGATCTTTCTCTGCTGATATGACAGTGAAGCATGTCAGTGGCACCAAAGAGGTATTCAGCCTTATTGATGTTTTACATCAATGCTTTGCATGTAATAAAAATACACTTACTTCAATGCCTGAATGGCGGCCTTCAATCCCATTATCTGTTGCTCCTACACGCAGCAAATTTATTACTAGAAAGAAAAAGACATAAAGTTTTAAGTGTTAGAACCATATAACATGATCTACAATTAACAATCTGGATCAGACTGGCACTCATAAAGCTGCAATAATCAAGCAAGTCATTCAACAACAGGCAATGTTCAAATCTTACTTAGCTTCAGTCATTAGTCACAAGCTGGTGATAAGAACTCTTTTTGACACTACAGACTTTGTTTTGAGTAACACAGCACCACCATATATACAAATGCTTAAGCTTCTCAGGGAACATAAAACAGGATTTAAGTTGTATCCTGCAAAGTCCTCAAAAACATCTGCAATGATTACACATTTATCAGGACATGACAACAGAATACTTTGATTCAATTTTTGTACATAATACTGTCAATTAAGACAAAAGAATTTAAAGATATGGATGAAATACTATACTCTCATTAGAGATAAGTGATTAACAAACAAATTCTTTCAAACCCCAGGATCCAACAAGAGGCTGCAGGGGTTACATATACAAACTTTTCTGGGAAATTTTCTATTAAAATACAAACTTGGCAGCATGTTCCATCACGAAATAAACTTTTAAGCTTAAGCTTTGGACCAGAAACATAGAAAGTGAAAATAAATGCTATGCTTCTTTTTAAATAGCTGAATGTATATAAGTACATAAGTTGGGCTTTCATTTGATATTCCACTCATAATATTTTAGTGAACACCAACACTCTAATCTTACCCGTTGTGCTTAATTTATGAATAAGCTCATGCATTGAAGTACAAACACTCTACTTAACACACTTCAGCTCTGCAAGGGAAATCCAGAATATTTCTTACCAAACATTTCTCTGGGATTCATGTAATGTATTAGAATTTATTTTTTACACTTAGCTTTTCAATCTACCCTACAAATAAAAATCACATGGCACAAGGTCTGAGAAACAAGCTGGCCATAAGCCTTCACTAATAATTTTATCACCAAATATGACACTTCTTGTAGCCATGAAGTTGCTGAATCCTGTTTAAAGTAACTGTGCAGTCTATTAATTCAGGGAAAAACCTATTCAAACTCAAATGAATATACTTTTCTGAATAAAATATATCTATAAAAAATAAAGATAATTATTCACTTTGCACTGATTGCACACCATACACCAACTTTTGAATCATAAAAGTGGCATTCATGAAGGACTCTAGGCTCTTCTGAGGACCAGTATCAGTTATTATGTATGTATGAATGTTCATTTTGTAAAATGTAGGCTGTGTCAGTAAACAACAATAATTTTTGGGTCAAGTGTATTTTCATTCCCCGACTGGATAAACCAGTTCCAAAAATGTTTCCTTGCAGCTGGGTCTCTTGGTTGCAATTTATGCCCTTGTACTATTTTATATGGGTGAATGTTCACTAATTTTGTACCTTTTGCTGAGGAGGCCAAAACATCAGCTCATTGGGACAGTTTTGCCACTAATTTTCTTGACGAACGCTCCAATCTTACATCAATAACATAATATTTTTCTTTTGATAGTATATGGCATCTTTTTATTTTCTTTTCAAGTACCAAACCCATAGTTTTGAATTTATTAATAAAATAATGAATGGTAGACATTGCAGAAATATCAACACTGGGGAATTTTTGTTAAAATTCTCTGATATACACAAGCTAACTGCTTTTTACATAACTGTCATAGATGAAAAAGCACTGTATTTGTGTACAGTAATATCTCAAATACAAACCCAACCTAAGCACGGAAATGTATCACCTATAACAACAAGAAAGCCTTCATCTGACAAGGTCTGTTGTGGACAGTGGCATTGCATCACATGGTGCAAATACAAAATAACAACCCTGCATAACCTACAGCAAATTAAATTTTCTATCATAACTTGATGTCATATGACATGTTGAAGTGAAAACGAAGTGGTCACTGTATTATACAGTTATTCCAGAATATTCACACCTAGGTTATAACATACCAGAATAAACACCCATTTATATATCTTAACTACTGATACTTCTCATCATCTGCCAATATCATATTTTTGGAAATAAACTGCAGTTGAAACGAGCAGAAAACAAAGACTGTTTTCCATATTTTCACAGAGCCCAAATAACATCAGAAACACGGTTACAAAAATATCAATATATTTGAGATGTCTGAAACAGCCTGATCAAAGAAAAACATGGAACAATGTTCTGCTCCTGACAAAACCTGAAGAACCACCTCACTCTGGGAAAAATTAACAAAGATCACACACATCTGAAGTCATTCGAATCAAATACTACCTTCCTTCATGCTTTATTTGTAAGAGCCTTTCTACCTGAACCAATGTTAATCGAGTGTTGCTAGCTCCAGTGCATTACAAGAACCCAGATTGCAAGTCCATATTTTTATCAGCTTTGTCGTTACTTTATAAGTTATTTGTAATTTTTCCCACTATATGACACCAGAAACTTTGGGAAATGCAGTTATTTTCGCAACTTCATCACAAATAATCCCCAAAACTAAACTGACAAGACAGAAGAGACCCCTATTTACCGCCTAGGATGGATGCTGCCTCAGCGTAGGCTACTTTGACATAAGCATAAACAAAGCTTTTTAATTCAAAAGACTATTCTTAACTTATAAACCCAATGTTATATGATTTTACAATACACTCTACAACGTACATATAAGTATATAGCACAAACAAACTTACTGTCACATATTAAAAACATAAATCTTCTTGCGACTTTACCTAGATGGATTGAACAGCCGTGAACATATGATACTTCCGGTGAAAATGAAAAATTCATGAAGAAAACATGCTGATTGTGTCAACTGAAAACTAATCAGTTAATACAGACGGTACAGTGAAAAGTATTATGATTTTATATATAATTTTAATCTTACTTGTTTTTTACAAGTACATTACAAACAAAATATTATAAATAAAATGTAACAAGCCTGTAAATACTTCAATGGAAAATTTTCATACAAGTTACTATGACAACAGCGTCAAAGTTCGGAAAAAGAGGTGCTTCTGGTTAAAATGTAGATATCTGTAAATTAAATTGAAGGAAATCATCTTAACTTGGATATTTTAATTTTCAGGACAAAGTAAATCTACATTATCATTGGTTTTATTGTATTACATAAATGTACATGTACTTTAAATTGTGAAAATCCCCAACATGCTTGACAGTAGAAGCCTGGTAATTTTTCTGTTAAGTAAATACAGGAGGTGGAATGTAAGTATGTATTCAAATTAATAAATAAAGTTATTTTGAATTTTCAGAATAGAATTTGCAGTTTTTTCTTCGTGTAATGTGATAATAAGCAATATATTTAGGTGTATTCAATAGAATTGCTAATCTGTAGGTTACAAAACTCCCATTTAGAAGCGATATATTTTCATTATGCAATCGATATATTATTAAATATGACTCGTGATGTTTGACCCTTCCGTTGCGCCCATTATAAATTAGTGACCGCATTAGTGAAGGGTATGTCATTTAAAAACCATTGTACATTAGCATCTGGCTGTTGTTCCAAAACATGAAAAATTCATATTTTATTTATGCTTAATAGATCCAATAAAGAAACAGTGTGAATTAATTGAATTAAAAGGTCCAACCCAAGCTAACATAACCAAATTTGGAATATATTCTTATTTGTTTTTGTCATCTATAGAATTTAATCCCAGGTTGTCTACAAAGAAACAGGCTTTATGTGTTACATTATTTTGAATGTTTTATTCTGTGTTTTGTATATAGGCACCAATCTTTTAGATGGTCTTCTTAGTTGTGTTGCCATGTAGTCTTGTAGGAGATTACCAACATTTCATAGGAATGTATTGCCTCCAGCTTCTTTTACCCTGAAGATGAAGGGAGTTCATTCCTTCAAAACATTGGTAATCAACTATTAGACTAAATGGCACCACCAAATGTTGTTTATGAGTAATTAGTACTTCTCCTTCATGTTCAGGAGATTTCGGTTCAAATCTTGCCCTAGACACCAACTATTGTGACAGGTTTTTCATGATTTTCCTTAGTTCCTCCAGACAGATTCTGGGAAAGGGCCTTAAATTAGATCATGACTGTTTTGTTCCATATCCTTTCCATTCTGTATTCATCAGTCACTCTATGATTTGAAACTATGGATTCTCTGCTGCTGATAGTGATGTTAAATAAGCCACAAATAAATAAATAAATACACAGTGATATGGCCCACAATCTCACAATTCAAATTTTAACCAAAGTGATTTCATATGCTTGTTTTTGGTTTGTTTCTGTTTATATAACAGTGCATTTCTATCTGTGTAGATTATATAGTAGCATATCCTTGGATGATTTGGTAGGTGGATTGGGAATTACATAAAAAGTAGCAGACATGGTCTCTTTAAAGGTTAGCATTTTTTCTGGAGGGACTGACAAAGTCCACAAGAATACTCAATCAGATTATTTGGCCTTGAAGTAGAAATTCAAACATGAGGCCTGAATTCATTCTCTTTTTCTTTTCTAGTATAAACATAATTGTAATAACAAGACTGGAAAGTGTAATCCATACTGGAAAACATAATTTCCATATGTATTTTTATTCCACCCTTACCACCCATGTTTAAACCAAACTAACATAATGAAACCGAACATATATAACTTAACACGTCCAACGCAACCTAACCCTCAGATCTGAGGGGAGGAGACCACTGCTAAGACCTACACATAGGTGGGAGTATAACATTAAGATGGACCTTAGGAAAATAGAAATCGATTGAGCAAATTGGATGCAGCTAGCTGGCAGGCCTTTGTCAATATGGTGATGAAAAGATGGGCAATTCTTTGACAAGCCGAATATACAGTCAACTTTTCAAAGAATATCCTGCGCTGTAGAATTAGTGTGGTTGTAATTCTGTACCAGTACTGCAACAGTTTATGTTCAGTATATTTAAGCACTTTAATTCATCAGAAGTCTCTGGTAAAAGTGTATCACTGTAGTGAATGGAAGGTTTAACCAACTTATTATTTTGATTTTACTTCCAGGCTAACATATACTGTAGTTGTCAAAAGACAGGCAGCTCAGAATTAGAAAACAGGCAAGCACAACTTATGGCACGTGGATTGCCAAAACAGAAACCAATTACTGGAGTCAAACAGATAATACTTGTGGCGTCAGGAAAGGGTGGTGTTGGAAAATCCACAACCGCAGGTACGTTTCTTTATATCAAGGAACAGTAAAATGTGAGATTTGAGGTTTTCACATATGTGATGATGATTATGTTCTTCTGGGTTTTGGCACTGTGTTGACTGGTTGGTAGATGCCGTTCTTTTGGGTAATGTACCGTCTCCATCTTTAGTGACAGTGCTGGGATTTGGGGGGAGGGGGGATTGGCAGCAAGGGAAGTCTGAAGGAATGGGCCCATCAGGATGGAGTGAGGTAGAAATTGGGCCCAGCCAATGGGGAAACTCAAAGCAGGCATCAGAGGAATGGGAAAGATGGAGGGTAGGAGAGAAGAAGTCAGCCCTTTCCAGGACCACAGGACAAGGTTGATACTGAATTCTGTAAAAGTGGTATTTAGGACTTTGTCCATCATCTATACTGAAATAAAACTGTTTCAGAAGCTATATATTCTTCTGTCTTGAGGTAAAAGGGGGAGTTAGCCTCAAACCTGGACCTAGAGCCAGGTCCAAGTCTGAGGCTAGCTCAGCCAGAGAACCCAACTGCTAGGATTTTTGTCCTTGCTGCTTTTACCTGAAGACGGAGGAAGATCTAGCATCAGAAACATAATGTTATTGAAATATAGATGATTAAGAAGACATTCTGTTTAATGACTTTGTCAGTAGCATGTAAATAATTACTCAGATAGTTGTGTGTTATAGTGTTATTTCCACTTGTCTAAAATCATAGAGAAAAACTGGATAAAGGGGGGATTGAGAGCAGTCATTCCACCCCCATTCAAATTCATAATACTTCTAGAATCTTTGGCTGATATACAGCTACCACAAAAAGATATATACACATTAAAATGTGGAGTATCAACCTTGTTATCAATGTCTGAGTTTTGTGTTTATGAGGGAAACATAGTGTGGTCTACACTTAACAGATGACACTATAATATCTTTTCCCATGATGTCAATGCTGACATACATATGTAATGATGTAGTTTGTTAAAATGTCTTTATTTCAATCATAAAAAGTGTGTGTATATCTTTTTGGGACACTCTGTAGTTGCTTCTTTGCTGCCTTTCAGTAACTTTTAAGGATGCAAATACATTGTTGTACAATAATTACTAATTGATCACCCATCGTTTTACCAGTTAAACAGAGAGTTTTGTATAGCTATTTATTAAAATATAATTTGTTCATTATTTTAGATTAAGGTTTGAGAAAGTGAACTTCTTGCATTTTATAATAACATATTCGTTCTGTTAGTTAATCTCTCATTAGCCCTGAAATCAGTTGAACCAAACAAAGTGGTTGGACTTCTCGATGCAGATGTGTATGGCCCTTCTGTTCCACTTATGATGGGCTTACATGAAACTCCACTCCTAACTAAAGGTACAGTAGAGAGTAGAGTATAGTAGAGTTTATTTACATTCCATAGATCCTTCTTAGGACTCAACCAAAGGATGTAGAACATGTCATTTCATACAATATACATACACTTCACAACTTTCAACACAAGTACAAGAACGTATTTCACATATCAATGTACATAAATTTCAGATTCTGCAATACAAGTATGAAAAATAATTTTACAAATTAATATACATAAACCTCAGAATTTTAAATATAAATACAAAACTTGCTTTACATATACGTAGATTACAGTTATTTTAACAGTTCTTCATTATTTACATGTGTATTTATGAGATGTTCTTGTTAATGCTCAAGCAGGAAAGGAATGAAAGTTCACACTTGAAGGAATTTTCAGGTTAGAACATAAAAAGGAAGTCTTATGAATTTCTGCATTGCTTTGAAAACTGAATTTAATAGAAAGAAGCTAAAGAGATTGAACATTTTATTACTTTTTTATATTTTATTCAGTTTTGTACCAATTCCTCAAGGACTTAATTATTGGTAGAGACCAATACATAAAGCCTTTGCTATTAATGTGTGATTTGTTGAGCCCCTGAAATCAATCCAGGATATAACACTTTCTTCCATATTCACCCAATTTCACCATTCATAATTATCCATCCACTTATCACTTTATTCCACTTAACTTCTATAGTTGATTGATCATTATTATACAGAGTGTGGGAAAAAATATGCATAATAACAATGTGAATGGGTATGAAATCTCAAAACAAAAATTTAAAATGTAGAATTCTCTAGAAGGAATCATTCTTCAGATATGGATTGAAGGAATCATAAAATGGGATATGAGTTGCACTCATCATAAGTAGCAAAGAAATTAGTGTTAACATTGAGAGACAGAGGCAGACACATGGAGGGTTCAATAACTATAAATAAACTACAGATGTCACTCATGAACAAGTGAGTTAATACAAAAGAATAGCACAGAAGACACAGAAATACATAAGAAGAATGCTCAGTTCACACATGTCAGGATAAACAACAATTGAGAAGCATACAATTCTTGTCAGCAAAGAACATTGAGTTTATGTAACAGAGAGTGGTAGTTACAGTAAGTGTTCAGTGTCCACTGTGTATTTGCTGACATGCAACAGCACACCATGGAAGACTAGCTTGCGCACATTGTAACATATCTGCATCAGTGATTGTCACAGCAGCATGACACTTTGTTATCAAGTATTTCATGCCAGTTAGCAGATCAAGAATTTCTTTCAGGTGTCCCCAAAGTAGGGAGTCAAGAGTATTCAGTTCCAACAGTTTTTCAGACCATGATATAGGGCTGCCACATCCTAGCCACCTGTCAAGAAACTGTGTGTTGAGGTTCTGTTGGGTCTGTGCACCTAAATGTACTGGTGCCCTATTGTGTTGAATCTACATGTGATATTGAACAACCAGTGGTACATTTACAAAGCAGCACCAGTAGCACTTCCTGCAATAACACATAATAAGCAGGGCCATTGAGGCCCAACCACAGAATTGCCAATGACACTGGCCCATATATTAATGCTCCAGTGAACTTGATGGCCCTACTCGCATGTTCCACGGAGAATTTGTTGTGATTTTTGAAGACACCTTCACTTGCTCCAAAAATACCAGATCACATTCTTGCAGCAATTATGCAACTATTTGCAGTTCTTCATTATCATGTAAAAAAAGCAAGACACTGTTATCTTCTGCTGTTCTTGACCCAATTTTGCACTATAAGGTTTTACACTTTTTAATATTTGTGAAATGCGAGGTTTTAACAGCAAGGAAAGATTGATCATGTAGACATGAATTGTTACCAGCATAATGGAGGACATTGCTCAATTCATCTGTCCCTTTATATAAAGGTGAGAAATAAGTAGACCTGTGATATAGGCTTACTATGTAGGAGGAGTGGAGGGATCTTCTTCTTAAAGTGCCTATCCATTCCGGATGTTGGCTATCAGCATAGCAATTTGAACTTTACTGGCTGCTACTTGAAACAGACCTCCAGTGGACATCGAGAACCAAGTTTTTAGGTTCTGAAGCCAGGAGATTCTTGGCCTGCCAGGTCCCCTCTTTACGAATACTTTTCCCTGGATTATCAACTGAAGCAGCCCGTATCTATCATTATTTCTCGTGGAGGGATCAGGCACAGAAATTCCCTCTTTCATATTTTTCCAGATGGGCGTGTCTCTTGTCCTCCATCCCTTGCTTTAATTAGTTGCCCTCCTTTCCCTCAATCCAATCCTTCCATATTTCCTGTATAAATCCCAGCTCTACTCACTTCTGTCATGGAAACACTGGTAACTACCTACATGATTACATAGTTTTACAATCTACTTCTTTGATTGAAAATATTATATTTATGCAGCTTGATGTTTGCTGAATTACGTGGGTTGAAATTTTGCATTGTGTATTTTCCCATTTTTCAATAGATAACTTTTTTAGTTATTTATTCATTTGTAAGAAATAAAAGAAGAATATGTTATTGTGTTCCTAAATTTAACGAAGGTACAGTTTTTGGTAAAATGGTAAAAAAAACCTGGTCTGTCGGTGACCCAAATATTATCTGTCCTTGAAAGGCTTAAGGAGCATGGTTTATATATGTGACACTGATTGGAAAATATTTTTGTATTCCTTTAATTTTTATTCTGGAAGTCTGTACTTTGGATATAATGAAAACTTATATGCATGAAATATTGAAGAATCATATGTAAGTAGGTACACATTATTCAGTTATATTCTTACATGTCTTAGAAAATGGATTCAGAAGTTTTAATTCATTTTCAGATAACTTGATGATTCCTTTAGTTAATTATGGATTGCAATGGTAAGTTCATTCTTATATTAAGCATACTTGCATTCATTTATAATTCATTACATGATATGCTGACAACACAGATGAAACCTTGCCAGTTGTTTAAAGTTCCTAATATAGAAACAAAATCTGAAAAAGGCTGGAAAGATATATGCATGCAGTGTCCTTAAATATTCTCTATTCTTAAATTAAATTTTATCACATTTTTTAAATATATTTATTTTGTACAGTCTATACACAAACGTTTGAAGTTTAATGGTGTTGTAAAAATTATATAATATTAAAACATTTTGTTGTGTAAAATATTATATTAGCGCTCTTAATCGTAAATACGATTTTACATTATATTTTTTAGCGCTTTTATTAAAACGACATGTTTCGACGGGTAATACCGTCGTCTTCAGGTTTTTATCAATTTAAAATATTTTAAAAACTATTAGATATTTGATGAAATATATTATAATGTCGTTTTAATAAAAGCGCTAAAAAATATAATGTAAAATCGTATTTACGATTAAGAGCGCTAATATAATATTTTACACAATAAAATGTTTTAATATTATATAATTTTTACAACACCAATAAACTTCAAACGTTTGTGTATAGACTGTACAAAATAAATATATTTAATCAAACACAAACATGACGCATATAAGATACACATTTTTTAAGATGAAGTCATTGAGTGAAAGTACATAAAATGTTCAGCTTGTTAGCTGTTATAAAATTTTCCCAAAATTCTTAGTATTTGATAGAACACTGTGCCAGAAATGGGCAACAATATAAGCTGGATATGCCATACTTCATATTCTTACATAATCATCTTACTATAATGATTGTTTAATACAACATGTTAAAGTACCATTGTTATTATACATAAATATCCATAATATGTAACTAACAACCAAAACTTAAAAGTTTAATTGTTGTTACATTTACTTGCAATAAAAATAATTATATTACTATAGTTTTTTCTTCTCATGAAGTCCGATTGAAAACCAATTAGAAGATTACTATGCAACAGGGTAGGGAGTGTTTGGTAGGCTTCCTGTATTTGGTTGGTTCTGGTTGGGTCACATGTTACAGAACCAAACTCATAAATGTTGCCAAGATTATCTTACAGCTGAGTGACATTGCTCAGGTAAGACTTGTGTTGGCTAAAAAATAAATTGTGAAAGCACTGTATTGCACTATACTGCACAGGACAGAAACATTTTGTACCACTGCCAAGAGACAACTGAAGGCTTTGGCTGTCCCCAACCCCCTGTTGTGATTGGATATTGTGTTTCTCAGTAAAAGTCAAGCTTCATAAGAGATTAAATGATTTATAGTTGAAATTTTATTGTCTTAAACAGTTAATGCAGCAGTCTATGGAAATGTCACTGATAATTTGGCTTATGTGATGAAGTTTGGACATAAATGTTGTGTGTTTAAGGTTAAGTAATAAATTTTTGTGGACAGTCATTATGTAAGAGAGCATGTCATAACTAACTATCTAACTAGATGGCTTATGGGACCCTAAGGTTCATCACTGAATTAACCAAAACCCACCACCAGACCCTGTCCTGGACCAACAAAATCCAGTCTCCTTCAACTCCTATCTCCGATAGATCCTGCCTGAGATTGTACTCCCATCTATGTCTAGGTCTCCCCAGCGGTCTCTTCCCTTCACGCTTCCCGGCCAGTACCCAGTGAACACATCTTGCCCCATCCATGTGCGCCACATGACTTGCCCACCTGCTAATTTGTTTGTAACTGCTGTTTTTATTTCGGTGAAAAGTTGTTAGCCTCATGCCCAACCCCTAAGATGGAGGACCACTTCTGCCAGCTGTCCGTGACTGCTTATTCAATATATTTGCAGCTAACCTCCATAAGTGGAGGCTGTTCCTCTATCCGCAACCTGAGGATGTCATGTCAGAATTAAATACCTTATGAATCATTCAGACAAAAGATTTTTTTTTCAGTATGTCATTGGGTTTCCTTGTTGATGAGAAGTCACCAGTTATATGGAGAGGCCTTATGGTCATGAGTGCATTAGAGAAACTCTTGCGACAGGTGGCATGGGATGCAGTGGACTACCTCATAGTGGATACACCTCCTGGAACTGGAGATACTCACCTCTCACTAATACAGAATTTACCATTGGCAGGTAATTGTGATTTGTGATTGAAGTGTGCCAACTTGCCAGAATTTAGTTCATTTTTCCATAAAAATAATGTAATACTTTTTTTCACAATGTATAATCAAGATTCACATACTGGTACTTGCTCTGTTATGCAGTACTGTTGCCCATACCCAGTATGTGTTCATATATCTACTAAGATAAAGGGTGAACTTACTGGACTACTTAGTAGTACCTGGGTGTTTGACTATTTATTGACTTTGAAAGGTCCATATGTGGAAATTTCATGAGATGACTGTCATAATGAGGTGAATATTTCAGGAAACAAAGAATGTAGAGAGATTGGAACAGTTATCCTTATGAACTCTGTAACTGTAAATCATTTCAGTATGACCTCAGAAACGTTGGCAAACATCAACCAGACTACACAACGCAACAACCCAGAAGACAGAAATCTTCAATATTTTTCTTGTGACTCTTATATTTCTGTGGAAAAAACAGTAAACCAACAGGAATCAGAATTTGAATTGTTTTCTATCATAGACCGTCTCTATTTGTAAGAATACCAGTATGTTAGATTTATTCTGTCTATTTGATTAATTTAAGTGTAAAACTCATCCATGTGTGCATTGTTTTATTTGTAGGAAACTGTGATAGTAGGAAACTCAAAAAGTAGTTGCTGGTTGACCACTTAATACAGTGCATTCACTGATAAGTTGAATGCAACTTTCACTTCTCAGGTCCCGGCAGGATCTTCTATAATTTGGATTAATTGATTTCATTGGTTTTATGGAGTTTTGACTTATATCAGGAGAACCTTGTAGTGCTTGGCAGTGAGTCACATAGTTTTAGCTGGGAGCTGGAAAGTGATAGTTGTGTTCAACTTATCAGTGAATGTACTGTATTGGTATAGAAGAGTTTGCCTTCACTGAACTTAATACATTACAAGTGCATCTGTTATGTCCAAAATGATTATGCTGATTATTAGGTAACTTACTTTATGCTTTTGAATGATACGAGGTGCGATCGGAAAGTTTCAAGACTGTGTCAATAGAGGGCGAACCGGATGTAGTACGAGCTTCTGCCGCTAGGGGGTGCGGCCTACATTCATAGTGAATCAGTGTGCCAGCCGGCATCATCGAATTAGCATTTGTTTCTTAGTTACGGGCGTTTTGGTAGTGCATTACACCGACCCTCCTGCGATTGCGGAATGGCG